AAAAATGACATATAAGAAGGGACGGATGAAGTATTTATTGATATACATTGTTTTGTATTGATGCAATAAATAGATATACATTTGTTTGTATTACAACTTTAGAATTCAAACAACAAAAATAATTTACATATTTAAATAATTTTATATTGTTATATAGTTTGTATTCATTAACAAATTTGAATACATTGATTTGAGAAAAAAAATAATATTTATCAAATTCAATCAACGAAATTCAATGTTTTATAAAATTGTCATATATTTATCAATTAATTAAGGGAAAAAATGGATATATAGGGTCAACAAGCACTCTTGCTAGTTATCGGTCATATGTATCATCCTCAACAGATCTAACATAGATGAGTTTCAATTCCAAATCTGCATGCACTTTAAGGCAAATGGAAACTTAGTAAAGTATTTGATGTGATTTGAATTACTTATTGTGAAGAGCAACTAATATAATTGATTTCTAATAGAAATACTTTTGGGAAGAAAATAGAAAATTTAAAACTTGAAAGTGGGAGAAAAAAAAGAGCGAGAGTTGAAAAAATACTATAAGAAAAAGGAAAAATTACATATATTAATACATTCTAAAAATAATTACTGATTTTAGCGATATTTTTTGTTTATCACTATTTATAGCAATGCTTTGTTAAATCTGTAATATGTATTAAAAGTGAATTATGTATGCAATATATATGAATTATAATTGCTTTTTGAAATATATCATGTTTGTTGGTAAAAAAAATTGTCACGTTGTATTATAAGTGTATTAAAATGTGCAATCAATGTATTATTCATCATTAAAATTTGTATTATATATAAAGAATAAATTGTTCTTTGTAATGTGTATTAAACTTACATTATAAATGAATTAAAAGTGAACAAGTGAAAAAAAACACTATTACTATAAATAATAAATATTTTTTATTATAATATATTTATGTAAATTTCCCAAAAAAAAAAAGTTGCACTTTTCAAAAACAAAACATGCGAGCATTTGGGCCGTTTGGATTAATTTGGTTTGGATATTCGATTTTTTTATTGAAGAAATTACAATAGAAATAAGTCTCAATTGGATTGGATGTTTTAAGTTCGTTTTGGATCAATCGATAGGACTTGGAACATTCCCGGTCGGCTATAATAATTAACAATCACAGTTCACCTTATAATTGAATCCGCAGCCTAAAGGCTATAAAATATTAATAAAAATTTTAAAATGGTATATAAATATTAATTTTAATTAAAAGGACAAAATCGTTGAAAGGGCAGCGATATCGCTTGCCGGAAAAAGTAAAATCACTTCCTTAGCGGCGATTTCTAAATCAAATTTTTGTTAATATTTTTCAATAAATTGCTGCCTAATTTAGCGATTTTTTTAATTTTTAAAATTATTTATTTTTTTAAAAAAAAACTAAGAGCAAATCGCTGCGAGGGCAGCGATTTGTCTCCAAGTTCTTTTTTTATTTTTTCCAATCATTTTTAAAAATTTTTTCTTTTACAATTTTTAAAATTACATTTTAATTTTAAATTGTTCTACTACTTATTCCAAAATAATGATTTTTAAATAAGTATCAATCAAAATTTTTCTAAAAAATTGATTTAAAAAGAAAAAAAATTGGAGGCAAATCGCTGCAAATCTAATTTCTTTTTCTTTTTTTAAATTTCAAATAAAAAATTAAGGAAATCGCTGTTTAGGGAGCAATTTATTAAAGAATCATTTAAAAAAATATTTTAGAAATCGCTGCTAAGGCAGCAATTTCTTTTTATTAAATTTTTTTCGACGATAGAAATCGCTCTTCTTCTAGAGATTTTGCCTTTTGATTAAAATAAAAATTCATATACCGTTTTAGAATTTTTATAACATTTTATACCCTTTAGACTCCGGACTCCCTTATAATTTGCTCCCTAAAATGTATTACTTTCTATAGTTAATAAGAATTGGGGTTAATTTTATATTAGACTTAATACTATAATGACAACCATTTTTATGTACTTTGATTCTTCAGTAAATGTAGCATATATAATTAGGGCTTCTTTACATAAATATTCCATCGATAAGAAAAATAAAAATGTACTTTGATTCTACACTAAATGTAGCATATATAATTAGGGCTTCTTTACATAAATATTCCATCGATAAGAAAAATCAGTTAAATAATTGCATGTATATATAATATATCTATATTGTATAAATAGTGTATATGATATATAATTATGTACCAGAAATGTGTATACATTTATATACACTATTATACAATAATATTTATATATTGCAGCAATTTATCTTTTTCTCTGAACACTTGTATTAAATTTTTTGTTTTCAATCCAAACCTACTCAAATCTTCCCTAAGTAGTCCAAAATTTTAGATACAAGTCACTCTTGATGCTTTAAGTCTTTGCATATATTATTCACTCAAAAATTATTCACTTTTGCGATAGGTTAAGATTTAAAATTTGATCTTCAAAATTTTTTAATAACGAATTTCAGTGAACGTCAGCACAAAATCTTTCTCTAAACAGATTAAAATATTAGATAATGAACTCCTCTCAATATTTTAATTCTTTTGATATAATATCTATTCAAAATGATTCATCCTTACAATAAATCAAATTTTAAAATACTTCTATAATAATAAAGCATGGTTAAATTATTTGTAAAGTTATAAAGGTAACTTTACTATGTGAGAAAGATTATAAAAGTTAACTAGAAGAGATAATTGACAAACAAGTGAGTTGGTGCCACGTGTGATGTGGCAAACTGCAGCAGGACTCCCGTGAATCATATCGGCTCAAAATTGCAAGGTGAAAAATGAAAAGTCAATAAAGATGAAGGGGGAAAAAGAGAGAAAGAGAAGAAAGGGGGGCATTTTTGTTAGTTTAGAAAATATTAAGGACGTTAATGTAAATTAAGAGGTCAATGAAGAAAAAGACCAAAAGGCACTGACATTGCCAGCTTCATTTAAGGGTGACATGGCAGGCAATACTGGTAGGCTCGATTTCCCAAATATCCTCCTCCTACTAACACACACCTACACATTTATAAATGAATTATATTAGTGGTTATAATTATTATAAGTTTCGAGTTTAAGTTTTGTAAATATTTTATTTATTGGAGAATTTTATCTTTTTATGAGTATTAGGTAGTGAGTTCAAATTAATTAGAATTTTTAAAATGCTTGTGGAATGAGAAATATAAAAAATTATTCGGATCACATTTCTATTATTTCTTTCATTTTAATTTAATTTATTTCATAAAAATATCTCTTTTTTTTGTGTAATTTTTTTAAAATCTTTTCAGATGATAACATTTTTACGATTATAACAGTTTGACATGTTTAAAATAGTTTTAGTTTATAATCATATAACTTTTTGGTGTAATTTTTTGAACTTTTCTTCTTCTTTTTCTTTTATGGTTAGGGGTGGTAGTGTGGTGTAGTTTGTGAAAGCATGAGGAAGACATGGGGCACATGTACATTTTCTACCTCATCTTAATCTAAGGTATTATAAATTGAATTAGAAATTTATTAAGGAGGAGTTAGATTTGGTGTTTAAAAGTACTAGAAAAATTTATTGAGATTAAGTGTGCGCTTTAGATTTTATAAGTATGTTCTAAGCGTTTGACTGTACGCTCTTAGCACAATCAACATTCAATGTTCGAAAATTGTCTAATAGATCTTTTACAAATTATATGTTAAATTTTTTGGAGAATATTATTGACCTTCATAATGCTCGAATAAATGAATGATATTAATAGCTTTTTTTTAAATGTATAAAAATAAGAAGACTGAGAGTAACTCAGATAACAAGTTGGAGTATAGTCTCTTTACTATTTTATAACAATATGAGAGTAATAATATATTACGTAACATTTTTTTTAAAAAAATACATAGCAAAATTTTTACTTTTTATCATTCATTTTCGTGTTTTTATCATACATCTCAAAATCATCATATTTTATTTATTTTTTATCATTAATTTTTTGTTTTTATTGATTATATATTTTTACAAATAATGATTTTTTTTATAACTAGAAAATTAAAATACTAGATTATTCGTACTTATACAATCATATCCCCAAAATATTTTACTTTTTTAATTATATAATTCTCAAAAAACTTCGAACAATAAAGATAAGTGAATACACTATACTTTCTACTGTTTTTTTTTAATACACTACTTTGGAACCAAAACCATATTTGTCATTGAAATGCTATCTGAACTTATGTACGAAAAGTCAGTTTAATTTTTATAATACAAGAGAATTTTGTCCTAATTAAGAACAGTTAATGTTGTGAAATTGACCAAGAAAACTTTTTTCCATCGGTATCTGATTATTCTCAAACCAACTAATATTCACTTCATTGCCCTAACAACTAATTAAGTGAAATGTAACAATCAAAACAAAAACCAACATTAAATAATGATGATTTCTCCCCTAATTGGTATCACATGCCATACTGCCACCTCTTAATTTGATGGGTTTAATTTTAAAACTTTTTAGTATTATACTCGCTCTATTCTTTTAAAAATTATAATTCAAATCTAAGTCGTTTAGACTCTTTTTTTCTAGTGCTAAATCCTTAAAGAAAATGCATTGTTAGGTGCACACATATAGGGAATTAAAGTATGATAAATCAACATTTCACGTTAAAAATATTGAGTTTGGATGAATTTGGATATCGATAATGCATCCACCGGAGTTCAAAATCCCCATCTTATCCTCCATTCCTACCCATTTGTTGCATCCCAAGTGCTCACAGCTCACTCAAAATGTAGTCCAAAATGGTCCCAACTCCCAAAAAAACCCATGACAAGAAAGAAAAAGAAAGAAGGTATATAGTAGTATAAACAACATACAAAAAGTGAAAAAAGCCAAAGGAACAGACCCTCTCTGTTTCACCTGCCAACAGATTGAACAACTACTCAGTTGTTACTCATCATTTTCTTTAGCCAAATTTCTGAACCAAACCCAGAAAAGTGAAAAGAAGAAAGGAAAAAAAATGTGTTATGTGGGTAAAGCTACCAAGATCTTCATCTTCATTGTCACTGTTCTAGTTGTTACTGGTCTTATATTGGGATTTGGGTTACTTAGGCATCACAATCAGAAAGGGGAAAACAAATGTTCTGGTGATTCTTGTGACCAAAATCAGTACCAAAGCCCCATTGTTTACCCACCCCCTACCACCTCCACTAACACCAATAACCCAATTTCACCATTGCCAATTTCAACTCCTTCACAGCCAAATACTCCAAATCCTAACTTACCCCAACCACCACCACCACCCTCACCAGATAATCCTACCCCTGAAACACCTAATTTAACACCACCGCCGCCTCCAGACACCGTGGTCTCCACTCCGCCGCCGCTTCCGCCGCCAGCTGTCTCATTAACTCCGCCGCCAACATTGAGCCCTCCCAGCCCCGTAACGGTGTCGCCAGGTCCAGTGCAATCTTAGAGTTTTCTGATCTTCGTTACCATTAATTTCGATTAACATTTTAGTATTTTGTATAGAAAAATTTGGCATCTCGCTGCTACTGGTTTTTGGTAGCAGATTTGATTTTTTTTTTTTTGCAGACAATTTTGTTCTCCATTGTAATTTTTAGTATCATGAATCTGATTCTTGCTTATTCAGCTGAGATCATTGAACAATTTTTATTACATTTCAAACAAAGATTATCATTTTCCTTATTTTAATTGGGGAAAAAGAGAAAATTTGGGGATGAGAAAAAATTGTATTCTTTTTTATGGAATTGAATTTGGGGTAAGCCTTAGTTCTTATTCATTGGTTTTTGAGAAAATTTTAATAGCTCGATTGTTTTGACTATTTGGATCGTCTAACTTATAATTTTAAAAATTCACAAGCCAAAAAAAATGGTTTTGTGTGGATGGTTTTTATTTAGACTAATAATAACAATGATAAGGAAGAAGAATTAGAAGAGGTCAATCTCATTATTAATCAAATTAGAAGAGTTCAATCTCATTATTAATCAAATTAAATAGAGTATCAAAGAGTCATAATAAGCAAATTCAAAATGATGATAATTGATATGGTTCATGCCTCCATAAAAAAAAATTGTACTCCAAGAAATATTATTTTTTTTAAAAATATTGTGGATGTATTTTCCTCAAAAAATGATGACAGAAAAACAAAAAGATTTTAATCAAAATGTGATGCGTTGGTTGATGGTCCTTCAATTGGATTTAAGTACAAACAGTTGAAACCCAAAGTTGAGAATCCAATGAAAGTGTCTTCTATTGCATCTCCAACATCTTTTTCCATCTCTAATTTCTTTGTTTTGAAAAATTTAGGCACATAATATCATATTTTTTTGGTTTCAAAATAAATAAATTTTGAGGTTCAACCTAGATAAGCCAAATAAGCAAATTAGATTGGATTTGAATGAACTAAAAATGAACTGGACAATAATCTAATCATATCAATATGAGGTTGGAACTAGAATTAGTGAATGATTTATTTCTAGATTGTAAACATTCACACTAACTAATAACAAAAGCTCTTTCAATTAAGTTATAGATTTTGTAAGATAGATTTTTTTTTTTAATAAAGACTAAATTTAGAGTAAAGTTCACGGATATTTTTACCCAAAAATTTCTCAACATTTGAAGGGTATATTAGGAAAAATACATCATATCTTTTCGAACTTGGCAACAAAATTTATTTTAGTACTTTAATTAAACGGACGTTTAAATACTCCCTTAACATTTTTAAACTGTATTTGAAGAAACCTTACCCCAGAACACGAACCAGGTTCGTGTAAGTTGCTTTTAAGTAAAGACAGAATAGAGACACAAACACTTATTGAATTAAAAACCTTCCTCACTCAAGGAAGGAAAAACCTCGTTTTATTAATTCAACTATAAGATTTTGTGATTACAACTCAATAATCAAAAGTCTTATCTCTACTATTCCCTCGATTGACTCCAATCGATCTCTCCAAAAGTCCAAACCCACCTTTTGTTACAACTCTTACTAACACTCAACCCTACAAAGAGCCAAATCCACCCTTTGTACAATAAACTGTAAACTACAATTAAGAACAAAAACAAGACAAATAGTTCTTCACGATAAAACCTTCTAACTCAAGAATATTTTGTCCGTGGCAATCCTATCAATCTTGAAGACCTCAGTTTGATGAATAATTTTCTCTTGTTCTCTACGTGAAGTCATGGATATTTTTTCTGCCTCGTATGCTTCTTGTTGAGTTTCTGCCTTGTACAATCCCTACTAATAAGGTAAGAAAGTTATATTTAAACAAGGATTCTTTTTTAAATTAGAATCCTTATTATACACAACTTCCTTCCTTAATAATATATTTAAGGGTTTCCTTATTTGTATGACTTGTACCTTTAATATATTATTTTGACTTTGACAAATAACTCTATTTTACTTGATCTTGGACTCTAGCTTGACTTCTTTCGCTGCGTTCATTTTCTACCGTTCTTTGCGCTTTTTGTCTATCATCAAAACGAATTAACGATTCTATCACATTCTATCATATTCCCCCTTTTTGATGAAGACAAACATGTAACGTGTGATGCATGCGCAAATAACTCTTCCCCCTTCTGACGAATCAAAAAGACATAAACAGCGGCTAATCAACACTAATCAATATCCATAGCAACAAAATACGCCCAGTCAGGAGAGCAATGTAAATTGTTCTGGCAACAAAACAAGGAACAACAATACAGAGTGAAACCAGCTAAGAGAACCAGGTTCAGACAACATGCTTTATCACTGTGGAGGTTGACCAGGCTTAGTTGAAGCTGAAGCCAGCATATCCAAAACTCTGTCAACTCTGGCATTGTTAGAAGTTGTTGCTGCAGCAACTGATCCTTCAACCTGTGTATTTCAGCATTTGAAGAATCGAGCTCAGCACGTAACTTCTGATTGTCTGATTCAAGAGAGGAGTTCTTTTCTTCAGCTACTTTAAGTTCCCTAAGTAATTGAGCAACAGGACCAGATGTACGTGGAGACACAGTTGCAACCTGCTCTGACTCCATAGGAATGCCACAATCAGCAAGGATAGTTTGAGTGAACATGTCTGCACGAGTTAAGATCTTGCCTTCTCCCAATGGTACTTCAAAAGCATCAAACACCCTAGTCAATAGGTTGCCAAAAGCTAACTGATGGGAGCCTAACTGAGGATCCACAATTCTAGCAAGATGTTTGATAATCAATGTAGGCCAATCAATGCGCTCTTTGCACTCAAGTGCACTCATAAGTCCCATGTCTCGTATGGAGGCAATGTAACGTTGGTGACCTCTAGGCAGTATCACCTTATGAACTATCTCAAAAAGAAGCTTATGCAAAGATCGCATTATTCCCTTTAAAACAGTTTAAGCCCTGGAATTGACTCTACCTTGCGAGAATCGAGCTGGCAGACTTGAATACTCATCAAAACTCCAATTGTACTCATTTATACCTACAGATGGTATATGCAATATTTCTCCAAGCTTGGTTGCATCAAACACAATATCAACACCCTTTACACTAGACGACACCACATCTCCTTCTAAGATTACCAAGTTCGTATAGAAATCGACCACTTCCTTTTCATAAATCAAACTAGGTTCTAGAAATAACTCCTCCCACCCTTGAAACCTTAGGAGTTCACAAACCTGCTTCACTAAATCCATTGACAGTATATCAGGATGAAAGGTTCTACCCCTAAGCACTGATTTGGTTTGGAAGTACTTTTTCCTTCCCACTTTTAGAAATTTATCTGCATTTCTTTTCGCAGATTTTGTTTTAGATTGAGGGGTTGCAGAATGTTTTCCCTCAGACATGACATCAGTATCAGAAGCAAGATCCATTGGGGAGACTGATGAGGGAACAGGAGACTTACCCAAACGTCGACGCTTCACCCCAGATGTTGTATTAGCAGCTGGCTTGACCGCATGCGCACTCCTTGTTACTGGCTTGTGTGGACAAGCCTGTTTGGCGGCAATGTGCTTTCTTGGCCGCCGTGGTTTTGTAGGGTGAAGGGAACTCAAAAGAATATCATCATGGATTTGAGAGGGTGGTGGGTTTTGAGGAGTGGTTTGGTGAGATGGTGAAGAAGGGGGGATGGTTGGGACAGTGGTTGTGGGACATGTTGGGTTTGGTGAAAGTAGGGTTTCGTGGACCGGTGATGCTGGGGTTTCTTGGACTGGTGATGGGGGAGATTCGATGATGGGTGGTGATGGGGAGTCAGTAACGACAGGTGAAGATGCTCCTTTAACTGGTGATGATGAAGGGGTTACTTGTGGTGGTGGAGATGTAGCTTTTGGTGGTGGAGATGGAGTTTTTTGTGGTGGTGATGGAGCTTTTGGTGGTGGTGATGGAGTTTTTTGTGGTGGTGATGGAGGTGTGGTTGGGAGTTGGGTTTCTTCCCCAAGATCGGGCACACCATCAACAACTTGGTTTTCTTCCTCCTGAGAATATTCACTATCAGACGAGCTTTCGTCATCGGAGTAAGCAACAAGTGGATTAGTCATGGTTATGGAAGGGATTGTGGTTTCTTGGTTTTATGAAGAATGAAGATGAGAGAAAGGTGGTTGCTAGGTTAGAGAGAGTGCTTTATTGGGAACGATTTTAGTGTTGTAATCAAGGGATTGGAGTAATTATGGGGGATTGACATCGAGGGGACGTGCGCCGTGACGGTTGCACCTGCTTGTCAGGGGGGCATGGGAGAGAGAAGATGAAATTGATTCCCCCTCCCTTTTTTTTCGATTTTTTTTAATTTTTGACACATTTTTTTTTAAAATATAAATTTTATTTTTTTAAAAAAAAATTTAACAATTTTTTTTTTAAAAAAATAAAGATTATGTGGAACCATCTTGACTGAACCTGGTTTATACCTCAGTAGAACTTGGTTGGGCATGGTTCATTCCAAGAAGATGAGCCCTAACTCAAGTCTATTTATCTGAAATAACTCTCTTCCTAGTGCCTTGGTGAAGATGTCCGCAACTTGATTCTCAGTTTTGCAGACCAAGATGTCCGCAACTTGATTCTCAGTTTTGCAGAACTCCATAATTATGTTTCCTTTTTCAACATTATCATGAAGAAAGTGATGTCTAACATCTATGTGTTTGGTGCGCTTGTGTTGAACTGGGTTTTTGGCCATGTTTATAGCACTTGTGTTATCACATAGAATAGGAATACAACCTGTTTCTATACCAAAGTCTTTAAGCTGCTGTTTTATCCAAAAAAGTTGGGCACAACATGAAGCAGCTGCAACATACTCAGCCTCTGCAGTAGATAGAGCCACTGAATTTTGTTTTCTTGTTGCCCAGAATATCAAACATGGTCCTAAGAACTGTGCCATCCCAGAAGTACTTTTTCTATCAACCATGTGTCCTGCATAATCAACGTCAGCAAATCCCTTTAGATCAAAAGAATCACCAGTTGGATACCATAGAACCAGGTTTATTGTACCTTTCAAATATCTCAGGATTCTCTTGACAGCTTTTAGATGTGATTCCTTTGGACACGACTGAAATCTTGCACATAGACCAACACTAAACACTATATCAGGTCTGCTGGCAGTGAGATATAGGAGTGATCCAATCATACCTCTATATCTAGTGTCATTGACTGGTGAACCTGATTCATTTTTATCAAGCTTTGTTGTTGTCCCAATGGGGGTTTCATTAGTCTTAGCTTCATTCATATCATACTTCTTCAGTAATTCCTTGATTTACTTTTGTTGATGAATTGATGTTCCAACTGGGGTTTGCTTAATTTGGAGTCCCAAGAAGAAATTCAATTCTCCCATCATACTCATCTCGAACTCACTATTCATTAGTTGAGCAAATTCTACTCCTAGTGAGTCATTGGTTCCTCCAAATATAATGTCATCTACATATACTTGGACTATGAACAGATCTTTACCTTGTTTTCGAAGAAACAGTGTATTGTCAATTTTTCCTCTTGTACATCCATGTGTGAGAAGGAAAGTGGACAATCGATCATACCATGCTCTTGGTGCTTGTTTCAACCCATAGAGTGCTTTGCCCAGTTTATATACATGATCAGGATATCTAGTGTTTTCGAAACTTGGAGGTTGTTTTACATACACCTCTTCTTGTAGGTAACCATTTAAAAAGGTACTTTTGACATCCATTTGGTAGAGTTTAAACTCCATGTGAGCAGCATATGCAACCAGTATTCTAATTGCCTTAATTCTTGCTACTGGTGCGAAGGTTTCATCATAATCTATACCTTCTTCTTGGTTGTATCCCTGTACAACTAGCCTAGCTTTGTTGCACACTATTTGACCTTGCTCATCGAGCTTGTTTCTAAACACCCACCTAGTTCCTATTACTGTTCTGTTTTGGGGCTTTGGAACCAGGTTCCACACTCTGCTTCTTTCAAATTGGTTGAGTTCTTCTTGCATAGCACCAATCCATTCAGAGTCTAGCAATGCTTCCTTTGTATTTTTAGGCTCAATCAGGGACACATAGGCAGAGAATGCACACATACTACGTAGTTTGGATCTTGTAGATATGCCTGAGTTAAGAGGAGTAAGAATATTTTGCAGAGGGTGAGAGCTTTGATGTTTCCAATTATGAGTGGGAATACTTACTGGTTCTTGAGGTGCAGATGAACCAGTTTAATTAGCAGACTTATCTCCTATTTCAGATGTTTTGTCAGATGGTATGGGTTCTTTTTCCCGTGTTTTTGGGTCTGACGGCTTGGAGCAGGTTCCCTCATTTTGTTCATCCTCTGAATTTCCTTCAACTTCACTAGTATGTTCATTAAAGACAACATGTACACTTTCTTCTACACGGTTTGTTCTTTTATTCAGTACCTTGTAGGCTTTGCTTTGTGATGAGTAGCCTAGAAAGATTCCTTCATCACTCTTGGCATCAAATTTTCCCAAATTGTCTTTGTCATTGTTGTGTATAAAACATACACATCCAAAGGCCCTAAGATGTGCTAGATTTGGTTTTCTTCCTTTTAGTAGCTCATATGGTGTTTTGTTTAACACTGATCTGATCATACATCTATTTATTAAATAACATCCTGTATTTACTGCTTCAGCCCAATAGAATTTTGGAAGTTTGCTTGAGATTAACATTGTTCTTGCAATATCTTCCAGTGTTCTTTTTTCCTCTCAACAACACCATTTTATTGTGGTGTTCTAGGTGCTGAGAAGTTATGCTCAATCCCATTTGTAGTACAAAATTGTAGGAATTGTGAGTTCTCAAACTCCAGTCCATGATCAGATCTGATGCTGATTATTTCTTTGTTGAATTTCTTCTGAACCAGCTTTGCAAAAACTTCAAACATAGTGAATGTCTCATCCTTTGTTGCAAGAAACAATGTCCAAGTGAATCTTGAGTAGTCGTCAACTATTACAAACACATATCTTTTTCCACCCCTGCTTTGTACACGCATTGGTCCACACAAATCCATGTGAAGCAATTCAAGTGGCTTAGTAGTACTTACTGTCAACTTTGGTTTGAAGGATGACCTAACCTGTTTTCCTTGAATGCAGGTTCCACATACTTGGTTGTCCTTGAAACTTTTGGTTGGCAGTCCCCTAACCAGGTCTTTAGATATGAGTTTGTTTATAGTTGTCATGCTAATGTGTCCCATTCTTTTGTGCCATAGCATGGAGCAATCTGAGACTACACTCAGACATTTAAGATTATCTTCCTTGGAGTCAACAGTCTTGACTTTGTACACATTCTTGTGTCTCTTTCCTAGTAGAACTAGGTTTCCAGTCACTGAGTTTGTTATTCTGCATTCTTTTTCTGTAAAGAGAACATTGTTTCCTTTATCACATATTTGCGATACGCTCAAAAGATTATGTTGTAGACCATTTACATAATATACGTTCTCAATTGCATGAGTATCCATTGTTCTAGCCTTTCCAATTCCTTGAATTTCTCCACTTTTACCATTACCAAAGGCAACGTTTCCTCCTTTGATGTTCTTGAGTGAGAGGAAGCTTCTTTTATCTCCAGTCATGTGTCTTGAGCATGCACTATCCAAGTACCATTGTTGCTGCTTCCTCTTCACTGATCCCTGCAATTTATTGTTGGATTTTAGATTTTGGTACCCAAATCCACTTTGATTTAAGCTTAGAGAATGGGTGAGTAAGATTTCTTCTGGCCCATCTAGGAAGAGACTTGTCTATAGAGATTTGTTTTTGCTCATTGGGTTTATCATGATGAGGTTTTCTCAAGGATTTCAAGTTTTTGTTATGAGCAGTTTGTTTCTTTTGACAATCATGACTTTTATGTCCTATCAGTTTACAGTGCATGCATAAACAGTCTATGTTGGGATTTTTTACTTGAGAGCTGGTTCTATCAAAACCTATCCCATGTTTCTCAAATGTGCGATTCTTGTGAATGTTGTTAAGCAGTATGGAGGACCTGGTCCATCTCATTCCATTTTCTGCTTCAGTTTTAGTCACAAGAAGCTCTTTGGAGAGTGTTTCATTCCTTTTAATTACCAGTTCTAGATTTTTACTTAGTTTGGTATTCTTGGATAAAAGATGAAGATTCTGTTTTTCAAGACTCTTGTTTTCTTCTCTTAGTGATGCATAGTCTTCCATTATCAGTTCCCTTTTTGAGTCTATGGTTTTATATTCATCAATGAGAGTGTAAAGTAAGGATTCTAGCTCTCTTTTTGAGTATGAACCTAGATTGTCTTGTAAGTTATGAAGACTAACCTTTTCATTTATGTCTTCTTCTTCTTCTTCTTTTTCAGAATCTGATCCAGCCATAAGTGCTAGTATGGTTTCTTGTGATCTGCAAGTTTCCCTTTCTTCCTTGTTTTCCACTGCTACAAGGGCAAGAAAGTCATAATCATCTTCTTGTTCTAGTGCAAGAAGAGACTGGTTTTCTATCTCATCACCCTCAAACTCTTCATCAAATGAATTCCCCATTGCTGCAAAAGCCCTCTTCATTGACATGTCTGCCTCTTGAATTGTCATTCTTCTGTTTGAGGGGACAAACTTATCCTTTTTGATGTCTTTTCCTTTCTCATAGTTTACCTTTTTCTGTTCTACGGCCTAGAGTGGACAGAATTTGATGAAGTGATCTGGACTCCCACACTTATGACAAACCTGGTCTTTAGTGTTTTCAGATGGTTTTTGAAAAGCTTTCTTTTGAAAGGTTTGCCCTCTCTTTAGCATTCTGGTGAACCTTTTAGTTATGAGGGCAATGTTTTCATCTTCAAAATCATCTGATGCAGGAGCTTTTAGAACCAGGTTCCTTTCCTTTCTTTTTCCTCCAATTTCCTTTTCTTGGTTTTTCTTAAGTTCGTAAGTGATGAGATTACCAATTAACTCATCCATTCCCAGTGAGTCTAGGTCGCGGGCTTCAGTTATAGCCTCGACTTTGCTTTCCCAAGTTTCAGGAAGGACACTCAAGAGTTTCCTTACTGCTTTTCCATTAGGCATTATCTCTCCTAAAGAGTACATTTCATTGATGATGGAGGTGAACCTGGTGTGCATGTCTTGAATAGTCTCTCCTTCTGCCAT